CTACCTACCTACCTACCTACCTAATCTATCGATATAGAACAGCAGAGTAGGAGAGAATTTCTGCACCCTCAACATCTTTGGAAGGGTTTTGCAGCCACCACTACAATGCAGAACTAATCCTACTGGAGGACACAGAGGACATTCCCAGGCCAGGGAAGGATTTCCCTGCCAAGCCAGCCAGAGCCCATTCCTGGAGCACCATGGGACAGCACCCAGAGGGCTGTGGCACTCGAGCCCTCAGCGCTGTGACTCACAGCTCGGGGCCAGCAGGATCCTTTTCCATGCACCCCCATGGTGGATGCTGCGGTCAGTAATTAGGGTTGGAGTATTTTGGGAAAAAGCCTTTGAGTCCAACTCTGCTCTCCGTTGCCCTGGCCTCCCTCACCCCGATCTTAATGGGATCTCATCTTGGCTGGAGCTCCTACACTAATCTCCCTTTAGTCAACCGCAAACAATTCATAGGAGAGTGGAAGCCCCATTTCAGCTGGTTCCCTGGAAGGAAACCATGTAGGAAATCCAATTTGGCTGTGTGAGTCACCTCACCGCATGGAATTGGACGCGTTGGGCTTTTGTTACGATCCTTCCGACAAAAGCCTTAAACTCAGCTCTTTGGCAAAGCCATGGAGACGTTGGGTGAGGGAAGTGGCTGCCTCCATGCCCATGTCTCAGCATTCAAGTTCACCCCCAGGGAAAAGTTATTGAACTATTTATATCCCACGTCAGCCCTTGCCTATGTGTCCAGCTCCCTTCACTGGGGTGAAACGCGTAGTGTAAACTCCTCGGGGCGGCAGATTTATTTGCAGTGGTTGTTCTCAGCCCTTCGCATTAGTTGTTATTTTAGGAAATAAACTCTACTTGGCTTGTATAAGGCTGCCCCAAAATAAACTTAGTGTGAGCTCCAGAGTCTGGGGAAGAGCCCAGGCTCTTGCAGTGCCACCCAGCTGTGGGTGGTGGCTTGGAGTCCAACGTTCATAGCCTAGCTCTTTAGCCATAAACCAGGAGAACGAGAGGGAAATTGTTTTTTCCCCCCCGGCCAATCTCTCAGACCTCTTCTCCCCAGTGGCTTACTTGGATCTGTTGAGTGAGCCAGTTATTTTCCTGCAAGTGGAGCCATTCCCACCACACACCCCACACTTGTCCAGCTTCTTGGAGGACCCAACGACGTGATCACAGCCAGCCTTGATGCACTGCCCGTGGACACAGATGGAGAGGGTCTCTGGGCCACACAGCGTCCCATCAATCACCTGGGGAGGGAGATGCAGGGGAGAAATTAGTGGATGTGATCCAAAATGGGGTCAACAGGGCTGATTCCCATCAAAGGAGTCTTACTTTGGCCTCAAAGACTTTGAATTCACTCCTCCCTCGGGCTCGGCAGAAGAGCTTGCAGCGATCTCGGGGCGACACTCCTGCGTACTTGGGAACCCACTCCAGGCGGTTCCCTTCCAGATCTGTGAAGTTGTAGCTGTTGTACTTCTCACACTGCTGCTCCCGAAAGCTCTTCCCTGAAAGGAAAGGCAAAATGTGACCCCAAATCTGTGGGAAGACAGCAGGAACTGCTGTCCCTGGCCATCACGGAGATGTGGGAGTGAGCTGAGGATAGTGGGAGTGTGTGGTGAGTGTGCAAGGACAGGAGGGATGACAGAGGAGGGAGGGATGACACAGAGAAAGGATGCTACAGAGGAGGGATGTCCCAGAGGAGGGAGGGATGCCACACACCTTCCACTCAGCCAGAGAGGGTCACAGCCCCCAGTGGTTAAGGCTGTTGCCCCCTCAAATATGAATATTCAAGGGAGAGTGGAGCAATCCCTGCTCATGGATTCTGGAGGAGCAGGATTGGGAGATGAGCATGCATTTGAGAATTGGCATAGAATCATAGAATTTTAGGGGTTGGAATGGACCTTAGAGATCACCCAGCCCCAGCCTCCTGCCCTGGGCAGGGACACCTCTCACCAGAGCAGGTTGCTCTAGGCTTGATCCAACCACAGCCTCCCTGGGCAACCTGTGCCAGTGTCTCACCACCCCTGACTCCTTACCATCTGGGGGGCACTCCTCGGTGTGGCAGGACTGGTACTTGGTTCTCTGCCCCTCGCAGTACCTGCCGCCGTGCTGGGGCCTGGGGCTGTCGCAGTGGCGGGGGGAGAACTGCACTCCGCCGCCGCAGCTCCGCGAGCAGGACCCCCAGGGGCTCCACGGGCCCCAGCCACCATCCACTGCTGCCTGCAAGAGTCAGAAAAACCTGCCAAATCCATCTCTCAGCCCATCCAGCCCTGCCTGCTCACTCCCAAAGGTCTGGAGCAATGCTAAAGTCTTCCCCCAAGCCCTGATCTAGCAACACACATAATTCACACAGAGTTATTACTGACTTCCACTAGTCTATTCATGTGCTTCAAGTACTTGCTGACTGACTCCAAAATCACTGCTAATTCCACCAGCAGGGCAAAAAAGTGATGATTTAATTGCAGAACCTCACTGCTTGCTCTGGTTAGACCAGCCCATGCCTCAGTACAGGCTTTATCCATGAGCTGGACTTGCCAGTAATAAAGGTCAGTCAACACAGGACAGACAACCAGAAATAAACCAGGCAAATCCAAAGCTAGTCAAGGAGATGGCAGGAATGGGGTCAGAGGTTTGAGAATCCCAAAGGATCAAGCCCCAATCCCCCCATTACCTGGGGTTTCAGGGCATCCTGTGGCACGCAGTGCCCATCCCAGCACAGCCCATCAGCTTTGCAGGGTGTCCCATCAGCCCACGGCAAGCTGCCGTTCTTGGTGTGGCACAGAGGCTCCCCACTGCCAGTCCTGCACCACAGCTGGGCACAGATGTCCTCCTCCGTGGTGTTGGGGCAGTGCTGGAAGTCCTTCCCAAAGATCTGCTGGCACTGCTGGTCCAGGCTGTACAGGGCTCCTTGGCCAGGCAGCTCAGCTGGCAGGGACAGGGGGTCGGCCGGGGCATCGAGCAGGCAGTCACCTGGGCAAGGCGATGGACAAATCAAGGCTTGATGCACCAAGCAGGGCACCTCAAGCCTCTGCCTGTGGTCTGGTGTGCCTCCCCTTTCACCCCACATACCCCTCAGACCTTGCGAAGAGCCTGAGCAACTAAGGCAAAGGTTGTTTTGAGTGATGAGGCTGCTGAACTGAGCCTTACCGTGCCCTCCATCCAAGAACTCAGTGAGGTACATGGCACTGCAAGGGGACCAGGGTTGGGTCTTGTTCAAGTGGATGAAGAGAGCAGCCATCATATGGTGCTGGCCCAGGGGTCCAAAGAGTCGCTCACAGGTCTTGGAGTCGTCGTGGGGCATGCTGAGCACATGGCCTGGGGAGCAGAGAGCACAGGTGAGCTGCAGCCCCCACCCCAGCTCCTGCACAGCTGCACATGGTGCATGGGCAGCTGGGAGAATCTGTAAGGTATCAAGCAGCTCCTACTGCTGCAAAAGCTATTTACTTCCACAAATCAGAAGTGATAAATCAGTGCTCACTCTATTTCAGTGGTAAAGTCCACAGAATGCAGGACAAAGCAGCCCAAATTCACAGAATGCCAGAATGCTTTGGGTAGGAAGGGAACACAAAAACCATCTCATTCCACTCCCTGCCATGGGCAGGGACAAAGTCCTCTAGACCTAATTGTTCCAAGCCCCATCCAACCTGGCCTGGAACATTCCCAGGGATGGGGCAGCCACAGCTTCTCTAGGCAACAATTAGTCAACAGATCTCTAGGAAATGCAAACCAAGGGGGAGAAGTGCTTGATCCCATGTCTGAGCTCATCACATCAGAAAAATGCACAGACTTACACCAATTTGGGTACTTGTAAGTGCTTTTGCTGATGCCAACCACCTTCTGCCAGTGCCACAACCTGCCCACACTGCCCAAGGCTTGGCAGGTGATCCCCAGCTGGTGCTGGGCTGTGCTTCATCCCCTCCCAGCAGCAGGGCTGGACACTCCAGCTGCAAAAGCAGATCCCCTCCCCACCTTGGGAAGGGATGTGTTACCCAGTTCATGAGCCAAGGTGTAGGCTGCCTGCAGACCCTCGTCCTCGATCACCGAGCAGCTCTTGTTGCGGTCGCACATGGTGCCAATATCTGCCACTCCCAGCGTGTCACAGCTTTGGTGGCCACAGAAGTCCTGTTTGTGAGGAGCACCGAGGGGGTGAGGGGGTGAGGGGGT